TTTCCATGGGATGTAGGAACTGTGCTTCATCTCTAAACCTACCAGTTCAAACTATGGTGGAGTTAAGTAACTGTGTTGCACAAGACACTTCACCCTGTCAGTGTCTCTTTCAGTCTAGGGGTGTAAAGGTACTTTCTAGGAAACGCAGTGAAATGCTGGGGGGAGGGGTAACCCTGTTAATGACAAGCATCCTAGCAAGTGGAGATGCATAATACTGCCCAACACTTCATGGCAATTAGATAATTGTATAAGCATGGAAAAGATGTCTGGCTAAATTCTAAGATTATTTGCTGCATGTAGATTGATAGTTTCTTTCTCCTCTTTTCTAGTTTTTTTTTTTTTATATCTATGTTCTGGGCCCACTGCAATTGGCTATGCAGTTGCAGTCTCCTTGCCAATTTTTTTTCCATTGGTTGTCGTTTTTTAATTTTTTTTTAATTTTTTTTTTATCGAAAGTGTTGTTGTTTGGCAAGGTTAACAAATACTGGTAATTAAATAAGCTGACATGACCTTACCAAATTTTTTAAGTGGCTATTCTATATGAAGTTTCCTCCTTTAATAACTTGTTGTAAAGAATGAACCTTTCTTGTCTGCTCATACTCCAAATGCAAGTTATGATGGCATTCAATTTGAGTTGCCATTGTTCTGGACTCAAAAGCCTCCATACATGTAATAATGCTTTTGTGTTTCCACGTGAAGACAAGGCTAGTCAGTCCAGAACAATTACAGTTCAAATTGGAAGCCATATTTGCATTTGGGGTATGTTCAGAAAAAAAAAATTGCACAAATTACCCAAGCTTCGACTTAAGTCCACAGGAAAATGCAAGAAATTTTCTTATTTAAAAATTGTCAAAATAAAATTCATATTTAATCTTTTCAGGTTTGTGCTGAGCTTTCTCTTCCAGGTGGTTCGAACAACAAGACAGACATGTTTCCACCTCTGCCATGGACTCCAGAAATGATTACCACATACTGCCAGAAAAAATGGGGTGTGGTACCTCAACCCAACTGGGCACCAATACAGTTCTGGGGAAAAGGTTGGTTTCCTCAAGGCATTGAAATACATAGTGGGCAATCTTGTTAGATTTAAAAGGAAGAATTTTGTCAAGGCAGCTGCTAAGAACAAACAATATGAATTGATCATTGCATTAATTTTGCTACCTCATCTGGATGAGATGTTACATGTTCGCTGTTCACTCTCCCAAAATTTTTTTCATGGTTAAAATTTCCCTTGTAAGCTTAGCTGCCACTGCAAAAGCACTCCTGATTGTTTTGCACAATATGTAATTGTGAGGCAGGGTAAGGCTGGATTGAACCAGACCTTTTGATCTTTAGTCTAATACTAAGCATTGTACATGGTTAGACTATTTTTTTAAGTTTCATTTCCTAGATGCCCTTCTGCTGTTCCTCTCTGAATGGAGGCAATACTAAAATTTGTTTTAAAAGTGATACAGAATTGTTGTTAAACCAGAGATCATGGACACCTGGAAGAAGTCCAGCATGACTTATTTGTGCTCTTGTTAGAGTGTAGACAAGTGGAAACAAGTGATCAACATAACCAAAATAATCGTAACAGAAGAGCGTAATTCGTGACATAAGTCACTTACATCTGGGACAGTAGTAAAATGGATGTTTGAGTTTGTTGAAGAAAGAAATACATGTCTTGGAGTGGTATTTGTTTTATTGGTCTTAAATGTGGTTTTATGGGGCACGGGTAACACTCTGACCAATCAGATGAGGGCACGGGTAACACTCTGACCAATCAGATGAGATCATGACTTGAAAGAAAATCTCAAAACCAGTAATTACCATAATTGGTATTCTTGCTTATGTTATACGCTTATTTCTGTGATCACAGTTTTATGAGTTTCTCAAGAAGTGTTTTAGCCACTGTGAACCCTTCCTCATTCTAGATTATGGTCAGAGAAGTCCTTTGTAGTGCAAGAATAAGAAATATTTCATATCAATATTGATTTTTCAGATATATCTTCATCTTCTAATATAATTTTTTCCAATGGAGACCTAGATCCATGGAGACCTGGTGGGGTAAGTTAAAGGGTATTTGAAAGGCTCTTGTTACTGTTATCATTGGTGTAATCATAGATGGATGTTTGATTTTAAATATAATTATGTCTTGTATTTTAGGTGTTAGAAGATGTCTCACCAACACTGGTGGCAGTTCTGGTCAGAGGTGGAGCTCACCATCTTGATCTGAGGTATGTTTTCACTTTACATTTACCAGATTGGTCAATATATAAATTCTCCCCGCATTTTTTTTTTTTTATAAAGTTATGGAGGCAGGTGATGAAATGAAAGAAAATTGACAGCTATGAGATGTAGAATACCAACATTTCTACTCCAGCCAATGACTAAATTTATGATGATGTAATGGGAGAATTTTTTAGTTTTAAGTTTTAAGTTTAATTTATTCGCCACTGGAATGGCAGGAGAAAGGAACAGAACTTTCGTTCCAATTGACACCTAACCCCTTTATTACCCACCCATCCCACCCCGGGGAGGATATCCATCACACAGTAATCTCTTGTGTGGGAAATTAACGTCTCCTACCCTAACCCTGCTGGAGGTGGGACCTCCAGTTATTGTCCCTATCCGAGAAGACTAGAAAGTCTAACCATTTGCAGATATTATTACAAAGGCAGCACTTTCTTCTCAGTTAATTAGAGACCCTGAGTGTTGGTCTGGCCGGATTTGAACTCACGACCTCCCGCACAACAGTCCAGTGCTCTACCAATTGAGTTAACCGGGAGCTCTGTGTGCATACTAGGTGCTAAAGCCTCATTTGGAGATTTCTTTCATTCTACCAAGTGTGCAACCTTGATTTTTAATTTTTTTTTCTTTTGAATTTATTATAATACTTATTATTAGTTTATTATTAGATTTTTACCTGAAGGGCAAACTTCTATCAGTGGTTCCTGTTCCCCTGTAATAGATTGCTAAAGAGGTTTAAATAAAGGAAGAAATCAGCTTCAAGCTGGTTTACCCAAAGTTTTCTGATTATTATCACTATTTTGGTTTTATTAAGTATTGATTTTTATGATTATGTTCACCAGAGCATCCAACCCACTGGACCCTCCTGCAGTGACACAAGCACGAGAGCAAGAACTGAAACTGATCCAAAGATTCTTACAAGAGAGCAGACTGTTTTAATGGACAGCTATTACAGTTTTCCTGATAGCACTTTTTCAATTAAATGCATAAATTCAATAATGATCAAACCTGCCTTTTGTCAGCAGCTGAGTCACTTTCTGGGTGCGTAACTTCAGATAAAGTTTTCATGGAGCATGGGAACATGCTTATTAGGAATTAGAATTTAAAAATTGAATTTGAAATCATTTAATTTACTTCATGCAATAGAAAGAAAGACTGGACATGAGACTTGAATGACATTCATAAGCCTTGGGCGAGTTTAATGCTGTTCATGATTGTTTTTGAAGAAAAATAAACTGTTTGATAAGAATATCTTCATTTCTCGTTTTTTGTGTACGAATTGTGTATGTTTTAATCCAATAATCAGCTGTATTATATATTACAGTGCTGTTTCATTGGTCTTGGTGACGTGACATCTCAAATCATTCGTCACGCGGAATCACGCAATCTATCGGTTAGCTTGTCACAAGACCCCCGCACGCAAATTATTTTACAACAAACTTGAAGATGGCGTGCGGCTTGGCGTTTCTCTTCGTAGTTTCCTCTCTTTTTGCCCTCGCAGGGGCTACTCTTCCTTACAAGACAGCTTACTTTGAGCAAAATCTGGATCATTTTAACTTCATTCAAACCAATAAGCTCACGTTCAAACAGCGGTACCTCTACACAGGTATTCTAACCGTAATTTCTGACAGGTTGAGCTGAGAAGGTGAAGCTGAGCAATGCAGTTCAATCTGTCAGAAAGCATTGTTAAATTTTATATTTCTCCTTTGCAAAGCTGTTGTAATCGATACTGTGATAAAATTAAGGTCTATTTTAGTATATTAATTTATGAAGTTTACCTTCGTGAGATTACATAGACCTACATTTGCTCAATTTGCTGGAACGAATGATCATCTGAAGTAAACAACTTTCCCATTCCCTTTCCTTGTAGATTCAAGGTTTCTGGTGGAACTGAATTTTAAAATATGCAATACCTCTGAGAATGGATTCATTTTCACCATTTTGCATAATTTCCTAATCGTACGGAAGTAATGACAGTTTGACGGTGAAAGTGAAGGGAGCTTATAGCAATCACTATGCTTTGAGACGGGTTCTGGCCATTTCCAAGGTTCACCATTGGGTGGGGGAAGGGAGGAGGGGGCCCTGCGAAGAGGAGGGGAGGTGCCCATAAAATACCATTTTGATCTGCAACTGATTTCACTCGTCTCTGCTTATATTATCATGGATGTCCTTATTTCCTGGTGAATTAAATGTACCTTTTCATTGAAGTAAATTAAGAACCAGGTACTGCACCTACCCCCTACACTGTTCAAACTTTATCTTTCCTCATCCTTGAAGCACCAGTTTTGGGGCTTGTCTCCTCAGGAGGTTTTAAACCTCTTGTGAATACACTGAGATCTACTCAGAGCAGAATGTTTCCTCGCAGATCAGTACTGGGATGAAAATGGACCAATTTTCTTTTACACTGGCAATGAAGGACCAATAACTGGTTTCTGGGAGAACTCGGGCTTTGTTTTTGAAGCAGCTCAGAAGTTCAATGCTTTGGTTGTGTTTGGTGAACATGTGAGTGCCCAAGAATGCTTTGTGTATTTGTGTTATATGGTGTGGAGTAGTGAATGTTAACGTTTCACTTCTAAGATTGACTAGATTCCAATAGACCTCTTTAGCTTGTATGTTTTGTTTACCTATTTCATGTGATAAGAGAACAGTCTCTTTCAAATTTCCTCTTATTATTTATACCCAGTGCAAGTTAATTTTCTGTCTTCATCCTTTGTTAGAGATACTATGGAGAATCCCTTCCATTTGGTTCGTCCTCATTTGATCACGACAAAGTTGGTTACCTTTCAGTGGAGCAAGCCCTTGCAGACTATGCTGTCCTACTGACTGATCTTAAGATTCAGTTTAAGGCCACAGAGAGTAAAGTTGTTGCCTTTGGTGGCAGGTACATTAGTTTTAGTAACTGTGGTCTAGATCACCTCCATAGAAACTTACAGCATTTGTAATTTTGTAAATCCCTTTTATTCATTAATCAGCAAGGTTTAGAATGTGAAGTGCTTTGATGATGTATTTTTTATCATTAATCTGCCCATGATCTGTTTTCAGTTATGGTGGAATGCTAAGTGCTTACATGAGGTTTAAATATCCAAATGTAATTGATGCTGCCTTGGCAGCCAGTGCTCCCATTTACATGACCACTTTCCAGGAAAGTGAAAGAGACTTATTCTTTGCTGCAGTGACAGAGGTAATGTTTATTTTTATTAATTGCAGTAAGCTAAGGCAATCAATGGTTGATTATTCAATTATTTATTGTTGTTTAGTTGTACTTCAACAAGGCTGTGCTCTAAGAAAAATTGAAGGGAGCTTAGCTCAGTGCTCCTAAACTGTGAAATCCAGGGTGCCTTGTTGATCAACAAGGGTACCTTGTTGATCATGTGTACTCTATCAACTTTTTACTAGTTTCTTCTCTTGATCAGCTTGATCAGCTTAATGATCAATGATTCTCTGCATAACATCAGGGAAACAATTAGTTTAAAGATTCAAGAGTCTAGTAATTTTTCTTTTTTTAAAAAAATGCACCAATAATGAGGACAATGATAAATTGATTTGTGATCTGAGTTAATTCTAGAGAGCATACCAACACTTTTAATTGGCAATATTTAACAGTTATTGTAATTAATTAATGATGTCCTTGAAAGAAAAAACTATCAACAGTACAAACTATTTTGTTTTCATGTTTCAGTTTATTCAATGACAGTGAATCTTATTCATTTCTTTATAATTTTGTGTTTTTATTTCCAAGGACTTTTTAAAAGCTGATGCCAATTGTCCAGGTTATGTTATTACAGCTTTTGAAATGATTGAGCTGCTGAAAAATCAAGGATCAAAAGGTAAATTAAGTTGGAATTAGCTCTAGGAAATATATGGGGTTAGAAAAGCTTAAACTGTAAGAGAGGATTATTTTTTTCTCCTTACAATGTTGGTAACAGTGAAGAACAGTTCCAAAAAGATACTGTTGGCCAACTGTTGGCCATCTGTCGGCTGACTGTTGGTCAACCGTCATCCATCAGCCAGCCTGTTGGTCGACCATCAGCTGACAGATGGCCAACAGTCAGCGGACTGTTTTCGATATATAAGTGAGATAACAGATGATATGTTTAAAAATGGAAAAAGTGTAGTCAGGTGATGTCATGAGTTTTATAGAAATTGGTTGCCTCTGACTGTTGTTATTTGTGAAACAACAGAAATAATGTCTCAGAAATAACAACAGTCAAAGGCAACCAATTTCTATAAAACTCACAACAGATGATATAAAGTGTTTGAGTTATCTGCAAAACCCTTTGACCCAAAGGGTCTAGCATCTAATTTCTCCTAATAATATCACCCCTGAATCAAACATTAAGTCATGAGAATAAAGCTAGGAAATTATCACCAACCAAAAAGACTCTAGATTTTTAAACAAATCCTCCTCGTTAGCACCTTTGAAAATGTATAGAATAGTACGGAGAATATTCATACTGATGTTAGGGTGTACAGGGTTACAGCTGCATGATTGTTAACATAATACCAAATTCTATGAAATTTAAAAGAAGATCAGAAGCCATTAGTAGGGAGAATTACCTGTCAAATCCTAGAAATGAAGGATCGAGTTTACATCTCCTCATGTATTCAGGTTGAAAATTTGGAAAGTTGGTGTTAGCAAGAGGACTAGGGAACCTTGGAAAACTCTCACAATAAGGGATGATTGATGCACCATTATGGCTTGAGGCAATTACTTGCTATACCATACCATTCTCATATCACAAGTATTAATGTTTTCATTAAGTGGGTAAATCAGTCTCTTATGGAAACTTTTCGAGTAAACATCAAAATAAAAACCAAAGTACTCCTAACTCTATCTTATTAACAAAGTTAACTATAACAAGGAAATAGATAATCCTTACTTAAAAGCAATTACATAGATCTTTTAAGCAAATAACTAAGTTGGGTTTGCTTTGAATTAGTGTTGTATACTAGTGAGTGAAAATGATCTGCAGTTTTATTTTGACTTGTAATTATTTGAATCTTGTTATTTTCTAATCATTTCTTTTCTTATAGGACTTGATGAAATTTCAAGGATATTTAAACTCTGTAAACCACTCAAGTCAACAGATCAAGTAAGAATGATCTAATCACAAAAATCACTTAATACCTATCACAACAGTGAAATGAAAACTGTTAAATGTTATATGGAGGAGCAGTTACTGAATACATCCAAAGATCACTTCCTATCTCTCTTCCCCGCTTTAACTTCCTGCTCCCTTCCTCTCTCACCCCCCTCCACCCTCTTTCTGTCCCTCTCTCCCTCTGTCCCCCACCCTGTCTCCCCCCTCTCTCCCTCTCTCCCCCCCACCTCTCTCTTCCTCCACCCTCTTTCCCTCCCTTTGTTCCCCCCACCCTCTTTCCCTCCCTCTCTCACCCCACCCTCTTTTCCTCCCTCTCTTCCCCCCCACCCACTGTCCATCCCTCTCTTATCCATTTACCCCTCCCCTTAAAAACTCTAAGCAGTAGAGATAAATGGCACAGCAGGGAGATTACCAGCCTCTTGATCCCACTGCTGTTGCCTTGCCTTGGTTGGATTCCAGAACATTGTATCACTTTCAGGTGAGTTGATAATTGATTCTCGTTGAAGCAACTCTCATTGGACTGTGAAATAGAAGTTGCAGGACCACTTTCTGGATTTGCCACCACTGAATTCTGTCATAACAATTGTTATTGAATGACAAATATAATTATTATTTTTCTTGCTTTATTCTCTCCCCAACTCTAGCTCCATGTTTTCCTTCCTTTCCTGCCTTTGTTTGATCCTTGTCTATCTATTGTTCCACCAGTCATTTGCTTTCTGTTTTAATTTTAGATCCCTCACATGTTACGTTGGATTCGCAATTCTTTCACAACCATAGCCATGTGTGATTATCCTTACCCTGCAGACCTTTTGGCTCCACTCCCTGGGCATCCTGTGAACTTGGCATGTAAAATGATGGCAAGTGCATCATCCAAGGTTGAAGGTCTGGCTGAGGTCACAGCTTTAGTCTACAATGGCACTAATGGAACACTAACTTGCCTAGACCCAGATACAGAGTTCATTGAATGTGCTGACCCCACAGGGTGTGGTCTGGGTCCAGACAGCCTTGCTCAGGACTATCAGGTATTGGGTTGTATCCTACTTGTCCAGTCAATAAACTAATATTTCTATGGTCAACCATAGTTTCCATACGATGTAAGATGCCATCCTCTCCTTAAAAAACTTCAGGATCTTGGAATTATGATGGCTTAGTATTATGTGTGCTGGACTCGTTTAAAAGAACATAAAAAGAATATTGAAAAGAACATCAAAATAGGATTAATATTTTTTTCTTTTGAGGCTTGCACTGAGCTCACCCTTCCAGCCGGTTCAAACAACAAGACAGACATGTTTCCACGTCTGCCATGGACTCCAGAAATGATTGCCACATACTGCAAGGAAAAATGGGGTGTGGTACCTCAACCCCGCTGAGCACCAATACAGTTCTGGGGAAAAGGTTGGTCTGCTGAAGCCTTTGGAATGTGTAGTTAGTGCACATGCGAGCAGAAATCCTCAAAGCAGAAAAATAATTTATGCGTGAAAGTATTCATCCATAGGCCTGTGTGAACTTAGAGATTTTAGGAGATAAAAAAAAAATATGAGGGTTTTTGTCAACTGAAGGCAGCCACATAAACACTCTGATTTGGCCACAGGTCATGTTACTCCCCGTGGATGGCATGCTAAATCTTTTCAGTAAACTTTGTAGCATTTTGCCAGGTTCCAACACCCCCTCTCCCTGGAAAGAGCCCAGTGCTAGAATAGGAAAAAATTATATTCCTTTGATTGGTTTTTCAGATATATCTTCTTCTTCTAACATTATTTTCTCCAATGGTGAGCTGGATCCATTTAGAACTGGAGGGGTAAGTTAATGTTATAAGGGTAGATCCATGTTTACTTTTAGGAGGGGGCTTAGCAATGATTTAACTGGTGGATGACATAAAATAGGCAATGACATAATTTGAACTGCTGAGAATACACAGAATTTTCATAAATTTTCCTCCCTGTGTCATGTTTAACTTCAACACCAATATTACCAAAAAGACAGTTTTCTTTTCCTTTTTACTGTATTATACTAGTTTATTGGAAAGCCAGTGGTCATCTTGGGGAAATGTGTACCTCATGCCTAGACCCACCCCTACGGTATTTAAAGGGCTGTCATCAGTGAAATCAGAGATGATTGTTGGTTTTTAAAATGTATTTGATTGTATTTTAGGTGTTAGAAGATGTTTCACTGACACTGGTGGCAGTCCTGGTCAGAGGTGGAGCTCACCATCTTGATCTGAGGTATTGATCAATATGTAAATTTTCCTTGCATTGTTTTAGGAAGTTTAATAGGCAGTTGATGAGAGGGAAGAAAATTCTCAGCTCCAGACAGAACATCAACTTCTTCACTTTAGCCGATCATGAAATTTGTGGCAATATACAGGGAGAATTTCAACTGAGATCTTGGAGCATACTAAGGGTGCAGAGCATACTAAGTGCCAAAGCCCCAAGCTATATGGAGAATTCCCTTATTCCCAAGGTTTTTAAAATTTTTCATAATTTTTTGGTATCTGAAAAGTGAGCAGTGATTCCTTTTCTTCTGTAACAGAATTCTGGTAAGGATTAAGTAATGAACAAAACCTTTTTCAAAGCAGTTTTATGATTATTGTTGTCATCTCAGTTGTATTTAGTATTGATGTGATTATGTTCTCCAGAGCATCCAATCCACTGGACCCTCCTACAGTGACACAAGCACGAGAGCAAGAACTGGAACTGATTCAAAAATTCTTACAATAGAGCAGGAAAATCTTAATGGACAACAATTAAAGTTGTCTAAATAAACTTTTTGTATGCATTAATTCAATAACAGTTGGAGCTGTCTATTTTAATTTTTTATAATGTAATATAGGAATAGGCAATTTTTAAGAAAATGATGGTTGTAGAAACTTCAAATAAGATTTGCATGGAGCATCGGAACATGTTAATTAGGAATTAGAATTACTGAGGGAATTTTATTTCATGGGAGGGTTAAAGGAACAAGAAATAAGACTTGGAAGAGATTTAAAAGCCTCATCTTTGTTAAATGCAGTAGTCCAGTGGTCAGTGCGCTGGACTCTAGGTCAGATGGCCCGGGTTNAGCCTTGATATCGTTGACGAAACGCCCAGAAAATGTCTAATGAGAGGCACTCAGATCTTTTTTCGTCCTTTTTATGTTTTTTTTTTGGTATCCTATGCAAAAGTATGCAAAACATTGTGACGTTTTGTCCGCGGGGATTTCAACTCGAAATCTAAATATTCATGAAGAAAAAGACCAAGTACTTGATGGCGGGTGTGTTTGCTGGCGTTCTTCTTTAAGACGAAATTTCGCTTTTAGACATAACAAATCAAATACTGAAGACATCCACAGGACTGAGGAAATGTTGACAAGCTTTGGCCTCTTTCTGGTGAGTAGTTGAACGCGTTATTCCTCCGCAATTTAAGTTAGAATGTTCTGCGGTGGTTTTCTTATCAGTCGTGTGTTTGGGTAGGTATTGTCTGCTTCTCTAAGGATTCACGATGTTTTGATAAAATCTTCAATTTGTTGCCAAACCTTTTTAAACATTTCCACACGTAGGACTTCCAAAAAAAAAAAGGCTCATTTTAACTTCGCATTTGAATACTTATCTATCAGCGTGACTTGTCCCAGACAATATGGCGGTTTTCACAACTGATTTCAGTTCTGATTTGAGTACTGTTTAGCTTTGTAAAGCTATTATCTCTCCCTTTGCTACTTAAAAAATCTCTTTTTCTGCCATCATTCAATGCTTTTAAGTATCTCTAGTAGCAAAAGTCAGGCTCTGTCTTATAGCTCAGTTTTTTATCATCTTTTTGTTTGCTTATTTATTTAGAGATGGGAATGGAAACGGCGATTTCAAAACAAGAATACAAGGACATCAAGAGGATTGAAAACGATGGATAATCACAAGCACAAGTTTACGCTGGAGGAAACAGATAAGCGGAATTAACCTTAATTTTTAAAACTTGACAGGATTTTGATTGAAGATTGTAAATCGCAGAAGTCTCCAGGAGCACCCGATCAAAATTTAGGGCTCTTCATATTCACGATTTCGAATGTCTCAATCTTAGATATATCTTCGAACTTTCTGTCGCTTCTAGGACTTTTGTTTTCTTGACTGAGGAAAAATAACTAGGGATAGTATTATGAAGCACAATTACATTACACGGTTGGCGTCTAAATTTTTCTAAGATCTTGTTTGTTTGTTTTGTTTTTTTTTTCGATTCGAGAAGTATCATTCATCACACATCACTTGTACTTAGAATTCTTCAGCAGAAACATGAAGAGACCTACGATTTTTTTAGAAGTGAGATTTCTTTTGCCTCAATTCTGTACGTAGATTTCAGGTATTTTTACTTCTTCAAGAAGATATAATAAGAGAGGATTTTTAAAAGCACCATTACATTTCTAACAACTTCTGAATTTGTTTCATAATTTTGTATGTGCTCTTGGGAATTTTGATATCTTCATGGAAACATGGTGAAATAGTATTACTTGAAGCCCAAACTCGTTTTCACATTTTATCTTCCGATTCAAATAATATCGACGTATAACTCGTGTTTAAATTTCTTCCAAGGAAGCTTAAAAGGCCTTCAATTTTATTGGAAGCCCGATTTCTTTTAGATCGAGAAATGACCAAATTTTTCTGTTGCCCAGCGATTGGGAATTTTGATATGTCGGCAGGTAAACTTGACGACACAATTTGAAGAAACACAATCACTTTAACATTTAATTCCAAATTGGTTTTAAGGTTTACTTTTTTCCTGTTTTTAAGGAGTATCATCAAGAGCCATAATGGGATATATTATGGCTCTTGGTATCATGTTGTAAGCATGATGTCTGCAGTATTAGATTTCTTACGCGAAAACTTAAAAAGGTCCCAGATTTCAATTTTTAGGCTCCTAGGAATTTTGATTTCTTTGGAAAAACTAACGAAAGAGAGAGAATTTCAAGAGAGTACGATGTTATTTATATCTTTTTGTAACTTGCTTTGCTTGGTCTTGATTTTCCTTATCCGAGGAAATCGTTTTACAAAATACCTACAGTAGTGTGATTTTTTTTTTAGCGGATAGGCTAGGAAGGCTTGTGTTTTCCTAGGAATTTCTGTCACCTTTATTTTCCTTAAGAAACCCTAACGAGGCAGAACTTTGAGAGTCAAATTACATTTTTGATTTCTTCTAATTCTACTTTGTGGTCTTGTTCATCGATTCAATACCTATTGTTCAATAAGGTCTCTAGTATTTAGATGTTTTCTTCGAAAACTAAATAGACTTTCGATCTTAAGGAAAGCGCGATGTTGTTCTTCGCAATTCCAGAAATAAATTCAATATCTTAAAAATTTATTTTCTATATTCAAGAAATATCGTTTTACAACATATTCTTGTGAAGGTGTAGTCTGATCGTCCGAGTGAGTGTAGTCCTGAGAAGGACTGTTGTCGGTGGTAGTGACTGACGTTTCGACAACCTGTGCGGAAGTCATCATCAGAGTCAAGTGAGTNTTCGAGAGGTATCGATTTAAACAAATCTAAGATTTAAAGATTATTGAAGGGAATCGAAGTTATGTTTGTCTTAATTCAAGACAGGGAATCACATCAAGTTGTGATTTTAAAAAGAATCACAATAATTGCATTGTGGGCTGCCTCTAGTTTTGTTTGTTTTGTTAAGTCTTGTTTTATCCATTCGAAAAGAATCGTATTAATAAATATTTAGTAATACATAGACAGGTAAAAACAAGTGATATAATATCCCGACGTTCCGCCGACTTCATGACGCCATTATCAAGGGTACAAATGAAAATAACATTAACAAATGCGTGTTCAAGAGTTACAACTAATTTACAAATACTTTAGCACGAATAGAATCCGTTTGCACGTTCAAACTCGGTGTTAATTGTTTGATGTAAAGCATCTCGTTGACAAAACAATCGAATTTGTTCATGCACTTCTTGAGAACTTCGAAACAGCTAAGAAGGTCCTCAGCGTGTTCGTTGTCGTAGTGCTTGTGCTTGAATCGTTTTCAAAAATTATCTTTTGCTAGGTTTTGGATTTCTTCTGCAAAAAATAAGAAGGCCTTCGATTTTTAAGGAAGCGCGATTTCTTTTGAAACAATTTTCATAATCTCAAACCTTTTTTTTGATTCAAAAATTAGCCTTTTATCATCTGGATTTTACCAGCGAAAAATTAAAAGACCTCCCAAATGATTCGAAATATAATGCCGTTTGCCTTAATTCCAGAAATTACTTTATCTGTCGCTCTTTGCATTTGAGTCATGATTTATTTAGGTAAACATTTAAATGAGAGATAATTTGAAGAAGCGCGATCATTTCCATACGTACTGCTAATTTCGTTTTAAGGTTGTGTTGCAATATATCTTAAGCTGTTTGGAGTTAAGATTATTTCGAGGAACAACTTAAATTTCTTTTCTTTTACCACTCAAGAATAATCGTCTTAAAACATATTCAGCGAAAAGTAAGAAGTACTCCACTCTATGAGAAGCGAAGAATACTTCCAGATAATTTTTCAGAACATAAAATCGTATTGTTTGGTACCATTGAAAGATTTAAAATGTCAATGAAACTCTTTGCAATTATATCATAAATCAAGCGGGTCATTGTTTGAGTACTTACGTCCGATCTTTGTAACTTTTCTCGTTCTATTTTCGAATACTTTTTCCGGGTGCTTCCTGATAGGTAATCTAACTAATGGGGAGAACGCACTGCAATTACAAACGGAAATTTTGAAGAAGTTTTCTAAAGTATACTTGCGAGACAAGTCCAGTTGATACAATTTTTTGTAGTTTATAGTAAATGTAATGAAACGATCAAGCAATGATCTGTAGCCTAGACGGGAGGGGGACACAAAAATATTTAGGAAATTTTACCTCGACCAGGTGAAAAAAAAAATGCAGTGCTTAAAGCAGCTCCATAAAGTTAGAAATTTTTGGCAAGGCTTTCGTGGGATTAAACTGTTTATATCTTTGGACTGGTGTTTTTTTTTTTTTTAAGTGTATCTGTCATATTCTAAATTTGATATTTCACACTAAATTTTATGAATCACCAGTCCTCTCAAAAATTTTAAATTTTCCCGCCAAAAAACTTAGAAAAATACGCATGCGCGTTTTTTAAAAAATTTACATGCTCTGTAAGTATTGGCTGTACAGAATGCACCGATGCTTCATGTAATCGAACTTGTTGTATTGCCAATAAAAGTTTGTCATGTCTATATTCAAAGTATCCAATTATCTTTGTAATATTTATTTTGTCTCTGATAAAGCAATTTTACATACAACAAACGTTTTCCTTTCAATAAGTTTAATTAATCAAGAAAAACTTTTCATATATATATATCAAGACTTTTGACGGGAAACTTTGGACCAATTCGCACAGAGTTTAACCCCGGCAACAGTTTTGACTAAAAAATTGAACAGAACTATTTTTGAAAATTTTCTCGGACAGAAACTGAGCAGAATTTTCAATTTTCTGGTTCTGTAATACTTTGCTAATTGGCCGTTCAATTTCTCGGTGTACAAACTTTAACTAGA